CACTTGGAATATAACGAAATGAGAATTTGACCTGTCGTATTTCTCCAACACGATTTCGTACAAATCTCGGTAGTAGACGAGAATGTTTCTGAATCCAGTGCAATGTGCATATGGAGTTTGACTATAAGGTGATTTTTTTTTTCTAGTTCCATTTGTTTTATAGTAAACTGGGCAGAGTATGGGAAGTGATTTTAGTTTTGGTATAGTCGTACCTTTAATACGAGCAATTCGCGACTCAGCAAAAACCAAGAAAGCTTTTTTTCCCTGAATTATATATAACGCAGTAGCGTATGCAATTAAGGAAGCGTCTGGAAATATGAATTTTTATTGGTTGTGACGGGTTAATTACCGCACGTGGCACCGACAATCCTTTTGATTAAACTTACTTCTGCTTGATCTTGTCAGGAGTTTTAGTATTAAATTCCTCGTCTTTTGAGGGGAATTCTCTTATATTCATTGAAACGTCCTGGTTTCCTTCTTGACATACCCTTTCATTAATGTTGGATTGCAGTTGGTCGTGAATCGTTTCACCGTATTTTTCATTATTCTGAAATGTCTTGATTAATGATTTCAAACGACCAAAACATAATCCAAGATTATCATTCAGCTTAAATTTCTTATCTTTCTAAGGTCAATCGACTTGATATCTTCCATCAATTTTGGTAATGTTTTCCTTAAACCTTTCTAAGACTTGCTTACCATCATAAAGATTAGGCTGTTCTTGTAGTTCGAGTTCTGTCGATCTGAATGAATCTAAAAAAATAATCGACACCAGTAAATAGATCAGATTGTTTCCAACATTCTATGTTAATTTTTAGTGGAAATTGACTTGAAATAAACGATGCATCGCATTGGTTTACTGTAATTACTTGTAAATGATTTGTCAGATAGTCCACAACAATAGCTTCTAGGTTATAATATCTGATCCCATAATCCAATTCGTGCTTTGATAACAAGCAATGATTTTTGGGTTCCTATCCAAATGATGTGATTTTCATTCTTTCGCAATCAATTTCGTCTAATTTTGATCGATTTGGCAGTCTCTTTGATACGCATCTTATTTGTTCACCACTATCAAAACGACTACGATTTCTTTTGTAATTCCAGGCACATCCAAACTGACTATTTCAACCTCTTTACAAAGGAGTAGGACTTGCTTATCTCGTCGATTCAATTGCCTTATCGCTGGTTTGATTACCTTTATCAAATTTATTTTTTCTTTGATTGGTTCAACAGGTTATGCGTAATCCTTATTTAATGTGGCATAGCGTAGTATTGTGAGGACCTTTGTAATGGAAACATAAACGTTTCCTTTTATTATAAATGGCTGCCGTATGTCCTGATTGGAGACAGTTTAGAAAAGCATTAATTTTCTTCAATCGTTCCATTTTTTGCTCGAAAATAGGATAAGTTTGACATTCATTATCCCAATGATCTTTATTGCAAAAGGCACGAGGTCTTGTGTTTTTTTTTGAATTAGTGGTTCCCTTAAAATTTTATGCCTGAAGTGTACTTATAACTAAGGGCGAGGTTTTTTTTTTTTAACATATCGTAAATATGATTTCGTTTTTCTTAATTAGTTTCTGTTCTTTCCCAGTTCTGAGGGATTGCCTTCTTGCAACTTCCTTGTTTCTTTGAACCAATTTTTCCAAGAATAGTCTTTTTCTAGTGACTGACCCTCTCAACAGTTTCGACTGTTACCTTTCATTCTCTATTATTTGTCTTGATGGAATACAATTTGTTACAGAGCGACTTCTTAATTGTATGTGATTGTCCAAATTTTTCTATGAGATTTTTCTTATACCCCAGAAAATCTTTGAGATATGCAGTTAAATAATTCAATTTTTGAATATCTGGAATATTTTGCAGATGTACTGCAACATCAAAACTGCTCCAAAATCCTCTCCATAAATTACCACTGAATGTATGCAGTGGTTATCGGCAAATTGATCGTTAAGTGCTATGCTATTTGGTTGACTCTTGTTGGCGAGTTAGTTCATCCTTCATATAGCTTTGGTTTAGGCGTTGGAGTACTCAAAATCATTTTTATACATTTTTAAAGTTGTCGTAATTTTTTTCCTTCCACTTATTAAAATTATTAAATTTAAAATACCTTTTTCGTTGTCGACCATTTGAGTGTAATTTTCTTTTTTTCTTGATGGAGTCGAGACTTGTTGTATATATCGTATTCAATTTGCGTTTGCGCTTTCTAGAGTATCAAGATGTAGTTCGAGGCGCATTATTTTTTGATAATTCTTTTTCTAGCCTCGCGTTGTTGACAGATTTCTTTTCTGGTCAGCATTTGATCCAAGGGTTAGATCCATTCCTATGACTTCTTCGAAGAGTTTTTCTAATATTTCCGTTGCCGGTTGCGCACCTTGATTACAAAGGTAGATATGTTCGGACTCATGCACCAAAATATGTTGCGAATTTTTTTGGGAGAGGTTTGATATGGCACAGTCGAATATTAGTGAAGGCTTAATAATTTAATAGAGGGGTTTATTCTTTTTGATATTATAATACAAAAATCAGAAAATGATCCGGGAGAATAATTTTGGACTCTTCGTTTGAAGTATTGCTTAAAGAAGAGTGTAAACGACAAGACCGCTTCCTTTCAGAGCAGTAAGTTGCACTGGAACTTCGGGTTGGGCGGTGTTTGGACAGCATTGTTTATAGTAATTAGGCAGTTGATCATTTGTAGACATAACTAGTGGTACATAAGAAGGTCATAAGGTCATTTTTGATACATGAAACTGATAGTAACAAAGAATCACTTGGCATTGTTTATAGTAGATAAACAATAAAATTGATGGTTAGCGAAGAATTGCTTCAACATATGCTTCAATGATGTAGAACCGACGGCAAAAAGGAGTTATTATTTGATTTGATCTATAGATTATTTGATTATAATATTAAACAAAGCATATCAAATCATTTAACTGAGAGTATTTTAGACAAGATTTCTATAGATTTTACGAATACAACCATACAAGTATCGTTGTATGCGTGAAATTAAGTTATTCCGGGTTATCGACATAGGATTTCTTTCCTTTTTTATATTGAGAAGGCTCATTAGCGCCGTACTGTGGTAAAACCGGGTTGATATTATTCCCGCGCTTATTTAGGAACCAATGAGAAGAGAGACCAAAGAAAAATTTTTCATACAAACAAACGGATGACAACAATTGAACATGGAAAAAATTGGAGAGGAAAGGAACGAAGGGACATCATTATCGATATCTGACTGCGTTTGAATATGAGGGAACCTATAATTTTTTGAGCAGTGGCACAACGTGTTTCTTAAATATATAACAATCGTCTCTAAAGCAGATTTTCAGGAAATTAAAACTTGTTTTCCTGCAGTAGCTTCTCCAATTTGTTCTAACATCTTTTGAGTGGCATCCCATTCAAAAGTTGCAAATAAGCAGGATATTTGACGTCTAAAACTGTAGGAATCATCGAGGTGTTGAAAACTACCGGAATGAGTTCTGCTTTCATAAATTTCGATAACCAATACCCATTATGATGTTTTACTGCAATTACAAGTGTCAGTGGTTCTTTTCCATTCTGGTGAGTGATAATAAAGGCGAACGCTGTATACAAATACTGATGTTTGCTGTTAATATCAACATTACGTTTGGTTTAATATCTGCTCAGTATCTTATATATTACATTGATAAGATACACACTCATACAACTGTTAAAGCACTCATTTGAATTGGTCGAAGTGATTGATTGATAATGATTATCAGACTGAGTTAATTAAAGCTTGTTTCAAATAAAACTTTTTACACCTTACATTGCAACCCTACCTTACATTTGGATCGATCAAGTGTTGTATTCCCTCGAAGGGTTACATCCAGAAATGTGGATGTGATGTTATCACACTAAATCACTCTTTGATAGCGTATAATTTTATCTTCTCGTATGATTTAAATTTAGAACCAAATTTAAATCAGACTGTTATCATCACTCCATTTACATGTAATTCATTGAATATAGTCGATTTATTTATCCTAAATGATCTAGCTACATGGCCGCTTGGTGCAAGAATTTCTTTTGTATTTCTGCACTTTTCATAATTTTGCTAGACGTGGCCGTCTTTCTATAGAGGTGAGCGAAAAACCACATACCTCACATATCTTAATGTTTGTATATTTGAAATTTGAAATTTGAAACCAGCGTAATTCATTTCTGATGTGGTCAGAATTTTAAAAAAAATGAAGGAAAATTATCATTACTTACTGATTTTTGTTTTAAGTTTAAATTAAGGGAGAATGTTCTTGTTTCCTTGCTAAAGGTATTTAAATTCTCGAGGAACTCACTCACTATTGATGATCGTGGCAAGTGCTAAACTCACAAAAGCGAAAATAATTCATTTAGTTGGAATCGAAGTTAAAATTTCATATCAGAATATTCGTTTTATTTGAGTTGATTTTCCGACTTTCAATGTGAAATGTGACAGTTGTATTTTACTACCTCATCAAATTTAGCTTTTTAGCAGACAATTGAAAATTAAATTACCGAGTTTGTTAACCACTGGAACCATTCTTGATGCTCGTTTTTCATTTGGAAATCGATGAGATTGATTTTTTTTATACTGAAAAAGTTATGTTGTTAACGGAAGTGTTTGTTAAGTTACTTAGAAAAATGTGACCTACTAAGAGATCTACTTTATAATTGAAGCCATTAGCATAGGTTCTTTCTTAGTCAGACCACAATCACCAGAAGATCTTGCTCGAATAACATGCAATAATTCTTTAACATATGCATCGATCATTGTGCATTGAATTTCGAAGGGTGACATAATATACAAATTCTTCATAGCGTTTGCTTCAGAAGAAAGCAGCTATTCCGTTTTTCAATGATGATAGATGTTTAAAGTATTTTAAATTATCAAATATTTAATAGTTTCATGCAACAGCTCGGACATTTTCCTTGCCCGTAAGGATCGTCGTTCATCTTATTTTCAAGCAAACGACTTCCGACAAGGAAATGCCATGGCAGATTTATTTTCAGAGTCTATCAAACATTTTCTGGCATATCTTGGTGAAATGGACAAAGGCGACATGCAGCGAAGTGTAGAAAGCTTGCGACACCAGCTAAACATTCAGAGATTACCCGTGTCACAATCGGCCAATGAGTTCGTTTTGGATAGCTACTTTCGATTCCTCTATACGACTAATCATTTCCTACTCCAATTTTAATTTATGTTCCATAATTTTGCAATCTGGTGCTAATGCTTTCTTGGAATACATATCTCTATATCCAATTCTATTAGACTTCACAGAGTTGGTTGGAAAGTTTAAAATAGTCTTTCCTGAAGTTTTTTTTTGAGTTGTACCTAATCACAAAACTAAAATTTTAACACAGTAACCTTTGTTGATAGTGTTTGCGTTTTTCAAACAGTAATGAAAAGGCTATATATATATATAAGTGTATAAACACATTCCAGGCCATTTAATATAATTATTGAATGACTTCTGGTATTCATTGCTTTAACGTGTCGTAACCGAATTAGTAAAAGTGTCAATTATGTGGAGTTCAATTAGTAGGTACTTGGTAGACAAGTCTATGAATTCATTTTTATGTAAGATTAAATAGGTCTATTTCAAATTAAGGAGATAAACGTATATAAATTTGGATACAGCATTGGCTAAAACACTAGAACAAAATTTTTTTTAACTGAGATGAAACTTATTTTGCAAGAAAAGAATCTAAACTTACCTTACAATATAGAGTAAGTGAAAGCTTGGTTGCTCCTTTGATAAAATTTAAAATCGTGAAACCCGATCATAAAAGAGAAAATCTTTTTGTATCAGATTCAGATTCAATATTAAGTAGGAAAATTTGCGAGCAATTTGGCATATCCGATTCCACGGTGATTTTTGTGGTTGCAGTGATGAATGAGATAGTGGAAGTGAATAATTTCAGAATGAAGCGATACATCGAGGGGCAACAGGAAAACGATCCACTAGTGAATCCAGTTGATAAACGATGCAATCCTTGGGCTGAAAAATCGAAATGTCAAATCCTATAATAACATTTCAATAATGATAATTGTTGCAGATTTGTGACGCATTGATGCCAAAAAATTCTTTACAGATCTCGCACTTCCTTTTATAACTCGTTTATTTTTTATTTTGGTTATTTTATTATTTATTATGTAATCAGTGTTGGCCATTGACTAGTTCTGTTTGCCTTTTATAATTAGCACATAAACTATTTTTTGCATTTTCTCAAATTCATGATATTTCAGGTGTTGATTATTTTCTGAAATTTATTTGAAGCTCTCCCATTTAATCATAATTAATCAGTAAAGTTACACACTGTTGTCAATTTTTGAGAACCAATTATGGATTACTCTACAGAAAAAATTTGACTTATCCAATAAATTCAAGTTGGCAATATATTCATATTTGATATTTGCAATATCTTCACTTTGCTTGGATATCAGTAAAATATCAGTTTTATGCAAACGAAGGATTAAAAAATTTCCTCAATACAAGTGCACCAAATTATTGGTGTAACATCAGCTTTTTGCAATTTCACAATTGAGCATAAAATGTTAGCATCTGGAAGTCTTGGATTGGTCAAAGAATAAAATTTGGAATATCTATCTCTTCATTGGATGGAAAAAAAGGATTTGCAAAATCATAAATAAAGCGATGGATAATAATGATGAGAAATTGGGTTAGGGTTTCTTCAAATATGTGCTGGGATAGAATCATTTTATATGCAAAAAAAATACATAGTGATATTATATTACATGAAATTTTTGTGGTTGGTGATTTTTTTTGGATTACAAATTTAAATTCAAAACTTTTCATTAAAATGAGTTAAAATACTAGGGCACTTAAATTTTGCTCAGTTAAATCATATTTAAAAAGTTAGGTGTTTACTCAATCAAATTTTTTGTGTGACGAAAATTATTTTATCCATATGCAATAAAAATAATCATTACAGCGATCAAAATGCATAATTTTATAAAATTAAGCATAGTTGATAACTACATTGATTTGAAATAATCTAAATTATACATCATTTCGTTAAGTGTGACAGTATTAAAATTTGCAACCCATATAGTACATGAGAGACAAAGAGACATTTAAAATGTACCACTACAATGAACCATTCATTAAAAAACAAAAAACAAAATACTGAACAGTTGTGACCGTTGTCATCATGCTCAAAACGTACATTTTATTTCGCATGAAACTCCTAGTTCAACCAAGACGAAGAATATTTCTTACATATTCACATTTAAGAGGAATTATTCTCTGAAATTTTAAATTTTGAAAAAAGTACATTTCAAAAACGCAATTTTGCTGGATCCTCAATTGGATCTCCAACATTTCATTTTCTTTAAATTGTAGTTTGGAATTTATTTTTTGGAAGGAAGTTATTTAATAACTTGAGAATAAGCTTTTAAAATTAAAAAATCAGTAATTATTATTGTGGCAGGACTTCCCTTTTCCTATAGTTCTCATTTTTTTATATCGTACTTATATATAATATATATATATATAGCATAAGCCTAAGCCATAATTGGGCCAACTTAAGCTCAATTAGAAATTTACGGAAAAATATGAAAAGCTAAATGACTTACCTGCCCTATTATATAAGATTTGCGAAGTGCCAGAAGAATTCTGTATTCGATCCTCGACACACCAGATCACAATAATTTTGAAAAAAATTAAACAAATATAAAAATACAAATAATCCACGAGTATAAAAAAATGCAGAATTAATCACGTAATAAGTTGCTGAAGCACAAGGGGAAATAAAGCTGCTCTTGACAGCATTACATCACCTGCATTTGATTGTTGAAAATCTTAAATTTTTGCTCAACTATTAAAGAGCACCTTTCTTTGCACACATGATTTGCTAAATAAATTGGAAAGTAAGATTTAATTCCCTCATTATAAAAATTTGATCCCCAAATCTTTTAAAATGAATTTCTCAGCCATGAACATAAATTTATATAATTAAGAACAATTAAGCCTAGTACCAGAGCAAAGTTCATCAAGGTGTGAAGTGCAAATGACAAAGCAAAAAATTACTCGATCCATTTATTGAAAACCTAGGACGAATGCCGCAACTATTTTAGGATGAAAAATTGGTACGCCAGTACTGTGGATCATGGTGCGCATCTGTTAAATCATCAAATCGTGGTGGCTGCTGCGATGGAATCGTTTGATCAATTGTTGATAATACAGAGACCGGTAAACTCATGCCTGCACCAAGACCTGCAGCATTAAAATTTCATTTCTTGTAGTTCAAGTTTCTTTACTGGTCCATTTTCATATATTGCGATAACTTCTAGAATGAATTATCAGACAGAAAAAAAACAACTTTTTACAGCACAGAGGAAAGAAAACGGATGTATAATATTTGTCATGAAAAACATATGATTCACACTTTTTCTTCGATCTTTTGCAAAATGGAACGAAATGGTTCGATGACTAACGTCATGGACTTAGTAAGGGTAAGGGTCATGCAGGCCATGTCTTAATGAGATGCAAAGAGAAGATAAGCTTCACTGACTAAATGATCCTCATCAATTTATAGCCATAATGTTTCCATCTTGTCGTTTTTGCAAGGTATTGGCGGCATTTGACTTCTACGAATTTCACTTCTTAGTATTTATTTTTATGTGTGATCATTTCGACGTCCAATTTTGGTTTTTCTAATGAAAAAATTGACGATATTTTGACAAGGCATATGAGTAAGGACAGTGATTGTGTCACACAGTGAAGAGAATTCTCATCACATACTTCGAAAAACGACTGCCATAACCATAAAAGATGATTTGTAAGAGACCAAACGGCAGTTAGAACCATTTCCACGTTTCTATATCAAAGTGATAAGAAAGAATTTTTTTTGAGCGGTCAATCGAGGCATGTCTTTAATCCTGACAATTGGATTCACATAGAAGCTTTTTTTAATTTGCTAAAAGACAAAAATATATGATAGTTTGGTATACGGATTCAAAATGAGTTAGGGTAATCTTTTATAAAAATGTAATTTTAAATTTTAAAAATGATGTGTCAAGAAAGTAAATTAAATTTGTGAAATTTCCAACCAAGAAATGAATATTTATACTGTCCGTTACTTGAAGAACGAACCGAAAGGTCAAGTGGCGAAGACAAGATTGCATATTATTGCTGTCTGAACACCGCTTTGTGGATGTTGTTTGCAACTGGACATTGTTCCGGGAAACATGGGAGAAACATGCTTGACACATACTGATGGTACGGATTCTCGGAACATTTTTTGGAAACATAATTTAAAATGAAGTGCGTAATTGTTAAAAATGAAGTGTTCAACAAAAAAGAACACACACCCGGTTACCTTTCTACCCATTAATTTTTACCTCTTGATAAATGACAACTACATTCAACTTCAAAGGCCTTTCGCCGACTATTTCTCACTAAAACTTTCAATGCCGTCATAGGTTGTCACACAACCGTTCTTTTTTGCCCAGATGTCCCACAACTTTTTTTGAATATTTTCAGAAGTCTTGATGATTTTTTTTTGAGAATTAGTTTGTGCCTTTTTTAAATCTTTTCCCAAATATTTACTATGATTTGCGACAACTATTTTTTGTTGTCCTGCATATTTCCGTTATCAATAAAATTTTCAATCAGTGTTAGCTGTTATCATTATCTACTTTAACTAGATTTGAGATGATAAATATTGTTAATGATGCTGAGAAGTGAAGCAGAGTACCACATGAATAGCGTTCATATTTAGATTTCGACGGGATTTTAGCGGTTTCATCTAAAATCAAAACACAAAATACCAGAATTCCTAAACCACTGAGGTCAACAATGTTTAAAAACTCCTCTTTTAAATTTAGTATTTTTATCAAACATTTATTCTAAAAAGGATATCAAAATTATAAAAGTAAATTTGTTGGTAGAGAGGGAAATTTTTTTATCGCTGTGCTGTTTCAGTGAAATTTTATTGTGGGTTTTGTTGTTTTATGGGAGTTGCATTGCACTTGTAAAGCTATTTCCTTATTAATGGTAATTTCAATTTTTCGAACTAAGCAGAATTTTGCTTGATCCATTGGAACTTTCTGAATAAATTTTTGAGTATATAATTTAGCAAAGTTTGATGTTCAAAAAATGCGCCCTATACATCATACCTAATCAAGACAAAGAATTGTTCTTTTATTTAAATATCAAGTATTAATATATAAAAATAGGTATTAAAAATGATTTGTAGTCATTTTTTAAAGATATCCGATGAACTCTAAATTTCTATGAATAATCGATAGCAAAAGTAATAAATTTTAGAAAACAAATACACCGCCCAATATATATGATGATGAATCATCATACTAATGAATTCTTATGGACTTGAAAGTTTTAATGGATTTATAAAATTAAAACAGCTCAAGACATACCACCAACATTGGAAATTGAAGAATGGTTCATTGTAGAAGCAAATGTCGGTGGTGCACCTGGTTGAACTGTTCGAGCATATGGCTGAAGGACTAAGTGATATTAGGTTCTATTAGATAGTAGGTTCTTTCAGACCCTGGACAGTTGATTTAAACAAGTAGTTTAAAAAAACAAACGTGAATCGTTATTGACTTTTTTTGGTGAATATAAATCTATCATGAGAGAGTGAAAGAAGAGTCAGCTAGTATTATTTAAAAAATTTTGACTGAGTGATTGTCGAATTCAAAATTGCTGGATGAAAGTGGACAAATGTCGCGATTTCAAATTCGTTTTTTCTTTTTTGCTTCTGTAAATAAAATTCGGTGATGAAGAAGACTCACATGAAAAGCATCGTAGGGTGACCTACCAGCGCTAGAGAACATATGATAAGAACTAAAATCAGACGGATGTTGTGATGTTCCCATTCCTAATCCAGCATTTGCAAAGCTGAAATAATGCGGAAATAACATTCCCACAAATATTTGCATGTAATTTAATAGATTTATATAGATGTTCAAATAAAATTCAAACTCAAAATAGGCCTTGATGAACTTACCTGTAGGGATCCATTGCAGGTTGTGGCAAAGGATACATCTGTGTGCTGGGAGGAGCGAAGCTGCTGCTAATAACCGGATTATTAAACCTTGCTGGTGTAGCAGTAGGACTACTGCCTAAAGGTGTACCCGTGCTTCCAGGATTCAATAAGCTACCTGGAAAAGTAATTTATTTCAAAAGTTGCATATCCCAAGTTTTATAAACAGTACTTTTTGAAATTGATGTAAATGAATCTATGAAGTATAATATATTTTAAGCTAGGCAATCCCATTCGCTAAAAGTAGGTTATCCTGTGAAAAATATCAAAATGAATCATATTGGAACGGAAAACGCAGAAAGAGAGGGGGAAAGAGAAAGAGAAAGAGCGAAGAAAATGTTCATAAGAAGAAAATACGAGTGACATATTTATCGTATCTAAGCAAATTACACAACCAGCATAGAACTTTAATGCACGAAGAAAGCATTTCTTTATTGAACCTCGGTCCTCTCATCTCAGTTTCTCTTATGTTCAAAAAAAATTAAATAATTTTTCAGCCATAGACTACGGTAACTGACCTTGCGTTGAGCCGGAACTACCGGCAGCGCTATTAGCACTGACATTGGAATTAGCTGGTGCCATTGTTGTATCCATACCTGGCGGTCGTTTTTGGTTCCTTAGTTTTTCTTCACGACGCCATTTGGCCCTCCTGTTCGAAAACCATACCTATAATTGTTCATTTCCAATCAAAAATAGAATTCTGTTATAGCTACTGGTGAATCTATTAAATTCAATTATAAATAAAAAAAAGTGAATAGATATTTGTATTAGTTAAATCCTCAAAACTAGCAGAATTGTTTGCGAGTTTGCTCAACGTTTACAGTCTTACTGAGTTATTTCCCCTGCCAAACTTAACTGATTCGTGTGCTTTGAACATGTTTCTCTGATATTCCCTACTCTGATCAACAATCTATATGGCTCACTAGTTAATATTACAGTAATATTTATATCTTTTAGTTATAACTTGCTTTCATTTTCTAAAAAATTTAAATCAAAAATCAATAGGTTAAAAATATATAAGACCTTGAAATATTTTCAGTAAGAAATATAAAGTTTTTATCTTAACCTTTTGATGAAAAGAATCATATACTTTTCTATAAATTTTGTTCTTCATGAGTTTAACTTATATTATTGACAAATAATGGAAGATTTTTTGATGCTATATCTTTAAAAAGTGAGGAAATGTCGCCTACTACAATCTAATCAGAATGAAAATAATTAAAATTTTTGCTTTCATAAAATTCGAACATCGTTTAATACATTTTAATTCAGTTAGATTTTCGCGATCGTTCTAATCAATAAGTGGCAGAACTATACTTAATTACATTTATACAAATAATCTATAAAAATATACATTGTGGGATCTCATTATAAAACTGAGTACAACTCATTCAACAAAATCATAAAATTGTGTAATTGTACTTTTGAAAATGCAATAATTTAACAAGTCAACTATATTAATTTTTTAAATTTCGAGGTAAAGTACGATATGTTCAATGCAAATAAAATTAGTCAGAAAACGGTGAACATATTTGAGAATACAGGTATAACTGTATTATATATAATCCATCCTATTTATTATTTGACCAAAAAATTTGTTTCACACCAATGTCTCATTGCTTCTTTCATTGTTTAGCGGCAAATAAATTATTTTCGGGACATGTCTTTTAAGTTTTCTTACATTCTCAATTTTTCTCGCTTCATGCGTAAGCCGCAAAAACGTGCAGAAGTTCAGGAAGAACTAATGAAGTAAATGATAATCAGATATTCATAATCACAAGGTTGAAAAATCAAGATTTTTAGATATAACTTCTTGACTTTTACTTGAATTTTTAGTAACACCATGAATACATGATTACTACGATGGTACCAAAAAAGATATGAATGATAATTTGGAAAGAATTTTAAAAATTTTAAATCAAAATACCCTCATTCTTTTTCTCCGTTAATTTAAATACTCTCCATCAACAGGGGGCCATTGTTGACTGAACATTTCAATTTTTTAATAGGAAGGAATCAATCCTTTCCTGGTACCTTCGAGACGTTTTTTGATTTCGTCATAATAACCAAACCATGGCAACGCAGCAGACGATGACGCGCGTTGTATACGGTAATGAAATATTAATACGCCATTCATGAAATGGCCATTAGACTTTTTCGTCCAATTATTTGAATTAACTATTGTTATAAAGAACAAAGCTTGCGAGTACTTCACAAGCAAAATGAAAAGCCAACCAATAATCTCATTTATATGCTTTAATCAAAAGAAATATTAATAACTGAGGGAGACTAACTTCTGACAGTTTAGATGCTTTAAAATTTATTATTATTATTATTATTATTATTATTATTATTATTATTATGAAGACTAAATATCAATAATCATTTTAAATGAAATGAAATCTAATTCAGTTTTAATAATAACCTTTAATTCAGTGCAATCTGGTTCCGG